AAAAATCAAAAAATTAATTTTAAAGTAAATTTAATATTTTTGAAGTCTACAAATTTTTAGGGATGCTAAAATTTAATTTTTTATTTTTTTATTCCAAAAATTAATTTTTAAAAATAAGTTTTAGATTTTCAAAATCCTAGAACAATGATATGAATAGGTCATACTCATATAAAATAGAACAACAAAAAATAACTAGAACAATGATCAAATATTATGATTAGGTTGTACTCATATAAAAATAATTTTATACAATTACATGTTATAATAAAAATAATAAGTATTCTAATATTTTATTATATAAATTTGCTAAGGGATTATACCAATTCATTAATACTTGATAATATATAAACAAATTTTATCAATAATATTTTTTTTAATAAGTGATATAATACCTAAAAACAAATTATTCAAATTTTATTAATAATATTTGTTGAATAAGTGACATAATACGTCAAAACAATTTATTAGCAAACAATTTTCTTGTTAATTTTCACATTTAATGAGAATTATGCTTACATTGAAAAGTCATAAATATAATTATAGTCCTTACTTGAAGTTTTTGGAACATGATTTGAAAATTACAATTACTTGAAAGAAGAACTAATATTTTACTTTTTATTTTCCTTTTTAGATTTTATTTTTTCTAAATTTTTATGAATATAGTTACATTTGTAAATAATATATGTACTAGCCAAAAAATACAAATTTCTAATCAAAAGGAGGAAAATAAATATAAGTAACCAATAATACAAATTATTTTATATAATTTTCATAGTAATATTTACTTATAAGTAAATAATATATTTACTAATATAATTAAAAATAATTTAAACTATTTCAGAAAATAAGAAAATTGAAAATAAGAAAAGATGAAAGATAATTCCTTCTTTATTTTGCTTTTTTATATTTTTGGTTTTTTCAATTTTCTGGAATACTATTTACTTTTATGTAAGAATATATTTTATTATTGTAAATAAAACTAATTCCATTTATATCAGTGAATAATATAACTATATATATAAAAAGGAAATGCAAATATTAGAGATAAATAATATACTTGAGATTCATCATTATCATCATCATTATTCGGCCTTATCCCAACTATTTAATCGGCTGCACAAATCTTGTTCCTCCATTCTGCTCTGTTATAGGCGATGCTATCAATGAGACCATAAGTTACTATATTTATTATCACTAATTCTGTTCAAATTATATAAATAGAATTATCTCAAAATGCAAGTTATAAATATAATTATAATCATATTTTGATGTTTATGGTATTTATTTTTGTATTTTTTATTTTATTTTTAGAAGCATATATACTTATATGATTGATAATACTTTTTTAGTAGGTTAGAAAATAATATAATTGAGAATATGAAAAATAATATATCAAAAATCTAAAAATTATTATTATTATCTAATAATCAAAATCTCTCTCTATCTACAAACTTTCTATAATTGAATATGCCTTCTTAAAAAATTTAGGGAAATTATAAAAAACATGCATTGTTTTAGATTATTAGAAATAAACATCAAATTTTTTTCTAACCTTATTCATACCCTTTTTCTCTATTATTTGCGTCTTTTTTATGAAACTACCCTTCAGGGTAGTCTTACATCTGTGAAGGCATCAAAGTCACCCAAAACAGTGATGGTCATAGCGGGTTCTAACTCATTGCATCATTCCACTTTTAGAACAGCGATGAGTTTCTGAACAATCACATGGTCACTTGAAGCATCACGACACTTTAAGAACCATGATGATAACTGAAAGGATCACCACACTAGTCACATTTGGTTTACATGAAAATATTTTCTAGAAAACATTTTTAACATGAAAAAATTATCTCATGCAGTCAAGTGTGGGAATATTGTCATAATAATTGGTCTTAATGCATATTTTCACACCGTTTGGTAACTACTTGATGTAAAAATATTTCCACACTTGACCACATGAAATAATTTTTTCATGTGAAAACGTTTTCCAGAAAACATTTTGCACGAGAACCAAAAATCTTAAAGAACCAGAATAGTCGCTTGAAGCGTCACGATAATCGTGATGGTCACTTGAAGCATCACAACACGTAAAGAACTGAGATGGTCACTTCAAGCATCATTGCATGTAAATAAACATGATGGGTTTATGGACTATCACATGGTTACTTGAAGCATCACGACACTTAAAGAACCGTGATGGTCACATGAAGCATCACGATACTTAAGGACCATGATGCCTCATAATACTTCTTTGAAGGGTATTTTAGTCACAAATATAAAAAGTGATGCAAAGGGGTATGAATGAGGTTTTGAATCATTACAGTTTATTTCTAATAATCTAATATATATATATAATTTCCCAAAATTGTATTTTAATGTTGAAGTTTTATTAAGGAAAAAGTTTATATAGAGCTTAGGCTCTAAACAATCAAATTAGAGCCTACCTCAAAACTTTCACTAGAAGAGGTTTTTTGATGCCCAAATTTCATCAAATTGATCATCTCAACATCAAGATGCATGGACATGAAAAAAAATAGATTTCAACTTTTGGAAATAACGCATTTTGTAACGCATATTTAGAGTATCAATTTTCAAGATTTTCAAGTTTTCATAGATCCGATTGTTCTACACAGTTTTTAACGCTTTGAATTTTATAACTAAAGAGGCTTGTACAAAAGTTTCCATATTAAAACTAGGGAAAATATTTTATTATCCTTTATTTTTAACTTCTGTATCTCATCAAACCCAAGAATTGAAAATATTACTTGTAAGAAGAAATACTCCATCTTTTCTATCTTCCAACCCCTTAAACCTTTTTGACTATGTATTATTGACTTCAACAACATATGAAATGACTATATCTCTCTCTCACATCATCTCTCTCTAAAACTCCATCTCTTTCTAAAACCCAAACTCCATCTCTCTCTCACAACATCGTCTTTCTCTCAAACTCCATCTCTCTCCCTAAAACTCAAACTCCATCTCTCTCCCTAAAACTCAAACTCCATCTCTCTCTCTGTCTAAAACTCCATCTCTCTCTAAAACCCAAACTCCATCTCTCTCTTACACATAAAAAGGTGTGCTCGTGTTCGAGCTCAAGCTAAACTCCTCGGCTGGTAAGCTCAAGCTAGTATTTTTGAAGTCCAAAAATGTATAGGAATGCTAAAATTTATTTTTTTATTTTTTATTCCAAAAATTAATTTTCAAAAATAAGTTTTAGGTTTTCAAAATCCTAGAACAATGATATTAATAGGTCATACTCATATAAAAATATAACAACAAAAAATAACTAGAACAATGATCAAATATTATGAATAGGTTATACTCATATTAAAATAATTTTGTACAATTGCATGTTATAATAAAAATAATAATTATTCTAATATTTTATTATATAAATTTCCTAAGGGATTAGACAAATATAAGAATACTTGATAATATATATAGAATTTATATTAATAATGTAAACAAATTTTATTAATAAGATTTGTTTAATGAGTGATATAATACCTAAAAACAAATTATTCAAATTTTAGTAATAAGATTTGTTTAATAAGTGACATAATACCTCAAAGCAATTTATTAGCATACAATTTTCTTGTTAATTCTCATATTTAATGAGAATGATGCTTACATTAAAAAGTCATAAATATAATTATAATCATTACTTGAAGTTTTTGGGACATGATTTGAAAATTACAATTACTTGAAAGAAAACCTAATATTTTCCTCTTTATTTTCCTTTTTAGAGTTTATTTTTTCTAAATTTTATGACTATAGTTACATGAATAAATAATATATGTACTAGCCAAAAAATACAAATTACTAATCAAAACAAGGAAAAATAAATATAAGTAACCAATAATACAAATTATTTTATATAAATTTTCATAGTAATATTTACTTATAAGTAAAAAATATATTTACTAATATAATTAAAAATAATTTAAACTATTTTAAAAAATAATAAAATTGAAAATAAAAAAAGATAAAAGATATTTCCTTCTTTATTTTGCTTTTTTATATTTTTTGTTTTTCCAATTTTTTTGGAATACTATTTACTTATATGTAAGAATATATTTATTATTGTAAATAAAACTAATTCCATTTATATCAGTGAATAATATAATTACAAATACAACAAAGGAAAAAGAAAATAATAAGTAACCATAAATGCAAATATTAAAGATGAATAATATAATTGAGATTCATCATTCTCATCATCATCATTCGGCCTTATCCCAACTATTTAATCGACTGCACAAATCTTGTTCCTCCATTATGCTCTGTCATGGGCAATGCTATCAATGAGACTATAAGTTATCATATTTTTTATCACTAATTCTGTCCAAATTATATAAATGAAATTATCTCAAAATGCAAGTTATAAATAGAATTATAATCATATTTTGAAGTTTATGAGATATATTTTTGTATTTTTGTATTGAGTTTCTGGACTATAAAAAATTCTGTCCTAGCAGTTGACTGTGAGAATATTTTCATAATAATTGGTCTTAATGCATCTTTTCACACCATTTGGTAACTACTTTATGCAAAAATATTCTCACACTTGACTACATCAAAGAATTGTTGGTCAAAGAATTGTTTCCCATTTGATAACTACTTGAAATTTTTTTAAGGGAAAAGTTTATATGGAGCCTAGGCTCTAAACAATCAAATTAGAGCCTATTTCAAAATTTTCACTAGAAGAGGTTGTTTTGCTGCTCAAATTTCATCAAATTGATAATCTCGACATCAAGATGCATTGACATGAAATAAAAATAAATTTAAAGTTTTGAAAATAGTGCATTTTATAAGGCATTTTAAACGATCAATTTTCAAAATTTTCAAATTTTCATTGATCTACTCGTTTTACACTATTTTTGAAGCTTTGGATTTTGGAAATAAAGATGAAAATATAATTTAGAGCGCCGGCTCAATACAAACCGCACCCTTTTATTAATGCTGGATTTTAATAAACATGGAAATGCGACTAGAATATAAAAGTGGCGAAATTTGAGCAAAAACTTCATTGAGGATTTCTTACTTCTTCGCTATTCTCCGTGTTATCTCGGTGAAGAAATGTTGTCTGCAAGGCTTTTTCTCCCCAGAAAAATGCCTGGTCCGTCCTGTCGCCCTCTCCTCGTCTCGGCATGCCCACCTGTTGAGCCCAAACCAAAGCCATGGCTCCTTGTAGGTCTAGGCAATCCTGGCAAGAAGTATGAAGGTACCAGACACAGTGTAAGCTTTGATTCATTGTTCTTTTCTTCTTCTTAGATTCGTTGTTTTATTGCATTGGTTTTTCGTTGTTTTATTTCATCTGCTTTTCTTTGTTGGGTATCTTTGTTTTACTTCTTCCTATGGTGAATGAGCATGACTTTTCTTGCCCACCATATTTATGTGATATTGAAGGTGAATGAGTATGATTTTTCTCGCCCACCATATTTATGTGATATTGAGAGAAGTTCAGAAAGCTCTATTGATTGGAAAAACATCAGTTTTCTTTATGCTTTTCGGGTTATTGACTTTATGTGAATTTAATAGAATGACAGGGGGTTCTATTGCTTAAATCAACTATAATATGCTTCTATGCTTCTTGGATCACTGATTTTGTTGGATTTCGATCTTGTTTTTCTTTGTTGGATTTTCTTTTCTTTTCTCTTTTTGGTTATTCTTGTTGTCGGAAATGATCATGGCTCTTCATACCTATGGTTATTTTGTGTCTTCATTAGCTGGGTCTCTTAGTTTTGCTAGAGCGGAAGAGCCTTCTTTCGATTAAATCGACTTCTAGTCTTTCAGCCATATGTAAAAGAGAATCAGGCCCTAGGTTTTGAAAATCGAAATGTTCATTGCTTTTTTTTTCTCTGAGCTATTGGGATGATAACACTGTGGCCAAATATGCATGCTATTACTGTATTCATTGTTTAGAGCAGTGCTTGAAAAAGCATGATATTCCTCCATTGAATTGTTTTGGAATGGGTGACATGAACCAAACACCCGTTGTATATAAACAAAAGCCATTTATTGAATATAGCAACAATTATATAATGGCATAGTTGCCATTATATCGAGTTTCAAAGTTCACAAAGTAATGGGGATTTGACATTGGCTATAATGTTTGTTATTTCTATTAATGTTTTTGGAGTTTGTGATACCATTAGTTTTGAAAATTTTTCCCTACATCCTTTTCAGCATATACCCATTATATTCATCATATACCCATTATATTCATCACATTATAGTGAAGATACTCCATGGGTTAGAGGTGGGGTGTCGACCGGAAACTCTTTTAGACTTGCTTGAGTTCAATTGGGTTTGGGTACATTGGTTGCTAAGAGAATGGCACATTAAAGGAGGGATTTGACAATGGAGAAATGTACTTCCTCCATAACTAATATTACCCCCTTTTGGATAATTTTGGGGTAATACTTCCATGTTCTTTTTACATGGATTTTTTTTTTCTTGAATGGAGAACTAAAGGAACATATTTATACAAACAATGAAAGGGGCATATAGAGGCCTATCGGACAAAAGATATAAACTGAAGCACTCAATATATGATGTGATACGAATTTCACAGCAATGGTATGTTGCACATAATATTCCATGTGCTATTCTGAGGCCTTCTCGAACCACGATATCTTACCACGAGACCTCCCATCGGAATTTGTAAACAACCTTTCATTTCGATGTCGTAGCTTCTTGGGATAATTGCATTGATTTAAAAAATGAACCGCCCTAGGCTGTTAAGAAGGCTTGGGCGCTTCGCCCAGGCCTAGGCGGTAAAACTGGGCTGTCTGTCCTTGGGCGGCCGCCTAGCGCCTAGCCTTGGGCGTCCGCCTAGGGCCTGCGCCCCACCCAGAGGTGGAAAAAATGATTTTTTTTTTTTTGTTTTGTTATTTTGAAATATTTAAAGGTTAAGAATGATGGCTTTTAGGTTCATTTGAACCCTAAACCCACTAGAAGCCCCTTTAGACTAAAAAAAACTCCAAAAAACTACATTTCATTGGATCAATCATCAAATCATCGAAGTGTTTCTCCAAGTTTTGGACTTCAAGCAACCAAAGTAAGCACATTTTTTAGATTGCTTGCTTTATTTTGAGATGTCTTCTTCAGGAGTTAGTCGGAGTGGAGATCTGGGTTGGAAATATGGATACAACTGGAATCCAAATGATAAAAATTGTGTTAGTCGTTGGATGTAATTTTTGTGAAAAAGAGACAAAAGGAGGCATAAACCGGTTTAAGAAACATCTTACCGGTATTAAGGGGGATGTTGCCTCTTGTAAAAATGTTCCTGAAGCTGTTAAAGAGGAGATTAAACAATTTTTAAGTTATGTAAAATAAAAACAAGAACAAAATCCTTGTCATAGTTCTATTCTGCTGCTACTAAAAATAGCGATACGCGTTGGAAGTATGGATATAACCCAAAACCAAATGATAAAAATTGTATAAGGTGTAATTTTTCTGAAAAAGATACCAATGGGGGTATTAGCCGATTCAAAAAACACCTTGCTGGTTACCAGTTAAAGGTAATGTTGCTTCTATTACAAAGGTTTTTGAAGTAGTTCGAGATGAGATTAGACATCTTTTGCATTTTGAAGAACCAAAAAAGGATGAAAATAAGCCTTGTTCGATAGAAGTGTCTTCTCCAGCTTCTAGTTATCGGAGTGGTGATCCGGGTTGGAAGTATGGTTATATCCGAAATCAAAATGATAAAAATCGTATTAAATGAAATTATTGTGGAAAGGATATTAATGGGGGTTTTTACCGGTTTAAAATACACCTTGCCGGTATTACGGGGGATGTTGCCCTATATAAAAATGTTCCTGAGGCTATCAAGGAGGAAATTATACAATATTTGAGTTCAGGGAAGCACAAAGAAGGGTACAGTAGCCAAGACTCCTAGGGCCTCGTCTGTACAGACGACACATACCAGTAAGAGGAAGGTAAAAGAAGAGGAGGAAGAAGAGGTAGATTCAAAAAAAACAGATGACGATAATCGTTGTATTGAAGAGGGAGATGACTCTGATGATGATGACCTCGACTCTGATGCATATGATGAGGCTTGCGCTATTGATATTCCTTCTGATGATGATGATGATGATTGAAGACTCTTGCCTCTTGGTGCTGAGTGTTGAGTTTGTTGACTGTTGTGTTGAGTCTTTTGACTGTTGACTTTTATTAGACTGTATAGTCTAGTGTTGAGTGACTTAAGTTCATTGACTGTTATGTTGACTTTTGTTAGATTGTATATTTTCTAAATTTCTGTATATTTCAGTTGTGTTGGGTGTTGACTTTTATATGGTTTTACAGATTTTAGTTTTAACAATATGGATTATCAAAATTCTCTTCTCGACTTCTATTTTGTTTTGTTTTTTTTTCAAGTTGGATTGTTGGAATCGTATATTGGGACAATGGGATTTTTATTTTTTTTCAACTAGGCAGCCGCCCAGTTTCTGGACGCCTGCCTAGGAGGCCTAGACCCCCCATGCCACCTAGGACCCGTCTAGTGCTTTTTGATACACTGGATAATTGCTTGACTCCAATTTCTCCCTTTTAAGTAGTGCTTCCTCTTGAAGCAATAGACTTAGATCTTCTGCCATGTGTGGATTTTTGAATTATCACCCTCATGGAATCAAATTGGTCCTTAGATTTTCAGAGATGATGGCAACTTCGTCATCATTCTCCATTTTAACACCAATTCCTTCCAAGTGATCATAATGATCTTTCGCTTTTATTTACCCAAAAAAGACAAGGGTACTTTGCTTTAAGAGAAAATTCTGTGATGGTACCATTATCTTGCTTATGTGCCCGTAATTCTATTTCCAAGAATGCCTTCCTAGCACCGCTTGCTTGTTCGTGCATAGTTACTAACCGATCCTAGCCTTCTTTTTATGTTTCTACATTCCTCATATGGGAGAACATATATAACCCAAATGAGATTTGAATTGCATGTAGAGCCTTGCCATTCTGTTTATTCCATGACACAAGTCTAACATGAACAGTTGGTCTACGTTTAGTCCCATTGACTAGATGCCATATATCTTGTTCTATCAAATAGCTTCTCAATCACACTTTCCAATCTTCATAATTCCTTGTGGTCAAAACTTCGATAACAATGGCACTTGATATCGACATGGAAATATTTTTTCTCTCTCTTTTTTATTCTCTTCTTCGTTTTTCTTTTGTTTTTAGCAATAAAAATCAACTACAAAAAAATAAAAATCAACTACAAAAAAATAAATTGAAGATTGGAAAGAAGAACTGACCTCTAATCATTGAGTCCTGAATCTTAAGACGCTGACTCCGATACCAAGTTGAAAGTATGTGCGGAAGCGTTGGTTGTTGATGACACGATGTGATGCGCACACACAACGAAATTGGGGCGGAAAGAGAACTTTTTATTCTGAAAATCTTTGGCCTCGGTGGGCTGTTACACACTCTCTCTTTCGTACAACTCGCTCTCTCTACAATTTCTCTCTAGGCTCATTGGCCTCTCTTATCTTTATCTCTCTAACTTTTCTCTACACACCCCTTTTTGTCTCTCTCTCTACACATCCCTTGAAGCCCGTCTCTCTCTCTCTCAAACTTCACAAGTAATTTAAAAGTGGCATCTCAAATTCTATTTGTAGCCATGATAGAGATATGATTCATAACATTAAGTCTTGCATGAAATCTCACTTTGAAATTTTGTTTTGTGTATAAAGATCTCTAGAGAAATTTTTTTATACTACTATGCTTGCTCAAAGAAGTTTTTCCTAAAATGGATTAAGATAATGCTGCTGCACCCATGGAAATTCTTAGTAGTAAAAGGTCAAAGTTGTGAAACACACGAGTCAAAGTTGTGAAACGTACTCAATATGCTCAAGCCATTGATGCAATAAATCAGGTGGGTATTCGCTTCTTGGCGAACAGTCAAGAGGGTATGTAGATGTATCCTAAAAATTAAGAACTGCAAGCTATTTATAAGACTAACAGCCGAGGGAGTTGAGGGTTCTTAATTGCACAATCTTCTTGATACCTAAATCTGTGAAGTCCTTTCTGGTCATTTTGTTCTCTTTGGAGGAAGTGTTACTTTGTATAGTACGAAACTGGGTTGTGTTACCTGACCTAGGTGGAAGTAACACGTATTGGTGGCAGTCAGCTCTAAGTTGCAGAAAGTAGAAGCAGGTGCAAGAGCAGCCATTCTTAGAAGGTTCGTTAGGTTTGGGAATGCCTCTGTGGTATGTGTTCCTTGACTGTTAGTCTATATGCTTGTGTTTGGAGGAGTACCGATTCTGAATTAGAGAAAAGCTTGGATAAGGCTAGGCTTCCAAAACGCAGAATCATGTTTCTGGTGTAGGAGACTAGACATAGGTATGATGATGTGGCAAGTAAGCTATAGCCACCATGTATGCGGTGTAGATAATGTCTTATCAATGATTTGACATTGTTGGACATAGCTGGTGGACTTCTTTGCATTTCATTTGACAACTGGGCCTTGATATCATTTTTTAAGAGTGTAGCAAATAACTCAAATGACAAACACATAGATGTACACATATGATGTATGGGGAAAGAATTAAACAGCTGCTACTAGGCTAAAGAGGATATGGTTGCAGTTCCTGACGAAGGCGTGTTCGCAAAGCATTATGAGACTTGCCACATCTTATAATGAATCCTGAACCTATGCTTTTGGTCTTATTGAGGGTATGGCCCTTGATAGAGAAGAATGGGGGAATAGGATATATGTACCCGACCCCAAATAATTGGGATAAAGCTTAGATGATGATGATGACATATTATGAGACTTGGAGGAAATGGATTTGGCCTCTTGGCTTGGAGGCAATGTCCATGTCATGTGAGCATAAAAGCCCTTTTTTCAATGGGTGTAAACTTGTGATTTATCAATGGGAAATTCTACAATTCCGAAGGAAACCACGGTACATTTGCGAATGACCCTCTATCCTAAATTTTATCAAGTGGACTTTAAAATTATTAAATATAAAATTAAGACATTATTCCAATTATGCAGGGTTGGCCATGTGTTGATGGTTCGATATGGAGTGAGGGCCTATTGATGTGGTGACTGCATACCGGGAGGTGGATAGAAAGGGGCCAGCAGGTTGTGAAAATTGTTGGTGTGTAGGGTGCAACCAAAGGGAGGTCTCTGAGTTTCGTCAATGATGGTGGATCACAACCCTAGGAGGACTAATGGAGTGAACCAGTCCCCCTGATGAAGAAAGAGGAAAATGCATGCACAAGCTGCTTATGTTTAGGCATGGCTGCCACAAATAGGTAGATAGAGCAGCTTGTTTAAGTGGTTGACTAATGGTTTGTTGCATACTCACTTTCAGATTGTGTTTCCTTTTCTATCTTCTTATCCATTTTATGATATGTTGGCTATCAAAGTGAGATCTACTGAATATTGTCTCTATCTTTTATCAACACTCTTCTGTTCGTAATGAGTTATTCAATTTATTGGCCTTAGATGTTCCAAATTCTGATGTTAGATTATTTGTTATTTACTAAATCCAGCAACTTAAACAATTTTTATGTGCTCAATGGGGTATGATCTTTTATGATATGCTAGACTATTTTCATTGTTTTGTGCAGGTAGGTTTCGAGATGATAGATACTATAGCGCAAGAAGAAGGAATATTAGTGAGCAGCATTCGCTTTAAGGCACTTGTTGGGAAAGGTTTGTGTACTTTTGTATTATTGCTGAAATGCTTTATTGCAAATAGTTGGAAAAATGAAAACGAAACATTAATTGACTAAGCACATCTACTGAGAGCCCTGACTTTGATTGTAATTATCATGTTATTCAAACATATAGTTCCACAAAGTCGTTAGTAGTGGAAAATCTATTGGTCTCTAATGATGTGTTTATTTTGTGGAAGCCGCTTCCAAGAGCCACAATGTCCATAATTGTAGCACTTACCTAGTTTGTTATGGGGGAAGTGCGATGTTGTTTTGGAAGCTGTTGAAAACGAGGGAAGTGCGGTGCTATTTTGGAAGCTACTACTTCCAGCCTCTTCCAAAACAACATTAAAATATGCTGTTTTGGGGAAGCCGTGGCTTCCATGCTATCCCATAGAACCCACAACATCTGGAGTTGGTGGAAGAGGCTGCTTTGGTAGCCGCCTCTTCCACTAGTCAAACACTCATAAATGCTTCTTAAAAATGTTGATTATTAATTACAATTGAGAAACAAACCTCGGTTTGTGTGATTCACTTCATCCTACAATATGATGCTTGGTCAAATAACCCTGTTCCTTGAGATTGGAGGTTCATTCGTGGACTCTTTGGTTCTTGCAGCCGAGGCTAATGTTGTTGAGTTTATTATTCTTTGAGGAAAGAAATTTACTTTTGACTTGGGTGTTTTTGAGGAAGGAAGCTTTTGTGTTGTTTTACCCCCATGAGTGTATTTTTAATCTAATTATTGTGCTTATTTTATTTTTTTGGGGGACTGGGTATGTAAGTACTCAAATTTCTTTTTTGAAGAGAAATATATAAGTGAAATTATTAAAAAAACCTTCATTTTGTTTCATATCTCTTTTCTTGATCATGTCGTTGTATTCCATGAAAGTTATTTTTTTTTTGGCAGCAGTAAGACGTGGAACCCATCTTTTGGAAGGTTTCTTTCTGATGATAAGAACACTATCCAGACCCTGTTCCAAAAAATAACATCCTCTGTTATTTTCTGGGCCTTCCACCATAAACAATTCGTGGGTATCTTTGCCTCCTTCTTTATTCGAGATTGGGATTAACTTCTTTATCTTAGTCATCACAGGAGCATAAATACCCCTCTATGGATTCCTCCCTCAGATAGCCATATAAAGCTTAACTTTGATGGATTCTCCATTGGAAACCCTGGTTCGGCAGACATCGGGGGAGTGTTTAAAAATCATGGAGGAGTCCTCACCTACTCAGAATACATATGAACTAAAGACTTGCAAACAACAGAAGCCTTGGCTAAGCTAACTAGAATCAAGCTTTTTAACCATTCTTGGGGGTAGAATCTTACAGATTGAAGGAGACACCAAAAACATCCTATGGTGGGGTTTTGGTAAAAGAGACCCACCTTGGTATTTGGGCCATATATTTGATGAGATCGATCACTTATATAGGGACTTGAAAGTCGCTTGGAGGCACACTCGAAGAACCGCAAACGCAACCGCAGATGCACTTGCTAAAGAAGCGGCCTGGCAACATATCTAACAGACCGTTTATCTTTAGATAACCTGTGTAAAAGGGTATCATTATAAGCCCTAACCTTTATTCTGTTGTCCTTTTTCTCTACTTTTGTTATAGTGCGCGAATAGGGCCAAAACTCTAAACTATCCTTTTGTCCGCTTTTGTAATTGGGCATATGTATAAGCCCCCCTCTGCTGTCGTGTAACTCTTTGTAGTGTAAGTCTCTGCTGGTCCTCCGCCCAGGGACCACGATGCTGTTGAGGACATGCTTGGTGGCCTCACAGTATTGACAAAACTCATGTATTTTGTTTTATTTAATGTTAACTTCTATCAAAAAAAAAAAACAAGAACCTTTTAGTTTCTATCCTCTAGGCATCGTTTCTGGATATGGCATGCAGTTTTTTGCTTGAATGAAATGAAAGGAATTTCAATCATTCCATAATAACCTTTTATTTGATGACTTTTAGTGTCCCAGTCTTTATTTTGTATTATAATAATAAAATTGGATGCCCAGTCGGATTGGTCAATTTTTAATCTAAAACTGTAGAAAGCATACAAATTTTAAAAATGTAGAAAATGGAAAAATATCTTAAAAACAATAAAATATTCTAAAAAATTGAGGTAATTTTCAGGGACAAAATAAAAAATGTAAAAAAGTGACGAGGTTTGAGGGCAACCATTCAAACATTAAGCATTAAGGCAATGATCAATTAAACCTCAAGGCAAGTTACCACTCCTCCATTGAGTAACAAACATACGAGTTTACTAGAATCCAATTCCAAAATAAAAAAAATTTGATTGCAAAGTGAAAGCACTTAAACATTATCATCATCATCATTCATGCCTTATCTAAATTATTTGGGGTCGGCTATATGAATCCTGTTCTTCTATTATCCGTTCTTCTCTATCAAGGGCTATACCCTCACTAAGATCAAAAGCCACCATATTTTTTTTCACTACTTAATCCTAACTGTGACTTGGAGACTCGTTTGGCTTTTTATGAGCAGCCCGTTGATTTACAATCAGTCTTTTTGTGGTCAGCGATTCACCTCTGTTGGGCACCTCAGAAAATTACAAAATTAAGGAAAACCGAAGTAGAAAGACACAAAAAAGCATGACCTTGCAAATTATATGATTTCACTCATCTTATGTGTATTGTGGGGCTTTTACTTGATTCTTGCTCTGATCTCAAGGACCTTTTAGTCTGCTCGAGAATTTCTTCACTTTCGCTTACTTCTTCAAACTCGACACCTTAGCTTATGAGCCAAGGGTTGAAGCTTGGGCTTCTCTCTCTTCACTTAGTTTTATCTCTAGAGCTCTCCCTTAGTACACTCACCTCAATAGTCTCTCTAAAAAGCCCCAAGTATGGGGTATTTATAGGCCACAAGGGGTTAAATTTGGGTTAGCTCTTGTTTTATTATAGAATAGGCAAGTTACCATGAAAAACAACCAAAGTTTCCAAATTTTTCCCATGGTTTCGAGGACTTTATATATTACTTAGTGAAGTGATTGATTTCATGCTTATTATGCCAATTTGGCATGGTGTTTTGCCAAATTTTCTCCATAAGTTGGTGGATAATTGAATTGTGTATCATATGGCTCATACCCCGTTAAAAACAATTCTTGAATTTATCTAGTTTTGGACATAGTTACAGGGAGCCGAAGCTAGAACGGCTTCGGGGTTGGGAGTGGGCACGTTGGATAGAATGGTGTTTGAAGCTCCGACACTTTTAGATCGAGCTCCGTAGAGAGTATTTAGCCAGGAGCTGGATCCCATATATTAACGATCTCTCTCCGAACGCTCATGGGATCTGGATCCCATTTTTCAAGGGCCGTCTTTCCCACTTCTCATGGGATTTCGATCCCAGATACCCAGGGACCACAATCCGTATAAATTGGGGTCCTCGATTCATAAATATAAAGGATCGCTGTCCCAACGCTCATGAAAACGAGATCCAATTGTGCAATTAACGGATTCCATCTTTCCCTTGTGTTAAACTCTTTAGTTATTTTGATTCTTGATATTGTTTATATATTTTACAACTCTTGTAGCAATCTAAGTAATTTAATTCTTGATGTTTGGGATCAATACATTATAAGGATGGAGATCTACAAATATAGGGATTGAGATCCTAATAAGGATAGAGATCCACAAATGTTGGGAGTGAGATCCCTGAATCAAGATCCACAAATGGAGGGATCAAGCACCATGATTGGGGGGGGGATCCAAGTCCCTATGAATAAGGAATCGAGATTCTGTGGAATAGGCACGTACTCCCTAAAAATAAGCAAGTTTCGGTTAAGATCCCGGTTTCAAAGCTTGGGATCTGGATCCTGGAGTCAGAACCATGCCCTCTAGGGGCGCTTCCAGTAACGATGGCTCTGGAACTAACGTCACCCATTATTTACTCTGCAACAGGTCCCATTTTTCTCCCAAGTTGATAATTAATGTGCATGCAAATTTTGAAGTGATTCGTTTCAATAGTTATATGAGTTTGTAAGGCATAGTTTGCACTTGTCAGGTACAAGGCCAATAGTCATTTGCATTAGTTTGCAAGGTTATTTTAAGTTTATTTGTTGTGGAATAGGATAATTAAGTCAAAAGTAATGATGATCAGGTTTTCAAACGAGAGAAATTTCCCTTTGACTGTTTAAGAAGAGCATATGGAGGATGATTCTTTTGCAATGATCCTTGGTTCGAGGAGGTGGATCTCTTTGAGTGGATTGTAATAATATTTGCCCATTTGATGTAGGTGAGACCAAAACCAGGTGACTTGGTAGATTTAAGCTCCATTATACTTTGAGGCTCATATGGGTAGATCTTGATGTATTTCAGTCATTTCCTGGGGCTGTTTGATGCAACCTTGGCCAGGTATCAATTACCTCAATTAATTCTTAGTTTCCCCTAGACACTAAGGATGAGTGCCTAATGTGATTAAATGGGAATACAGGGAGGCTACATGTAGCAGATCTATAGTTGAGGTTTGTGAGGATAAGCTCATCTCCTCCTTTCACATCCTTTGCGATGGAAATGAGGAGGATGTGTATTGTGTAACTCTTGATTTGTCCCGTCTTATCTGAGATAACGACTCACGTTTTCTTCTTTTTTCTGTTGTTGTTTACTCTCTTATGTTTTTTTTGTTTTTTGTTTTTTGTTTTTTTTTGGGAAAAATGTTGTGAAAGAAAAAGGGTGGATGTTCTTGTGCTCTATTGAGACTTGGTTGTATGAATTCGTCCTCTATCCCTGTGCACACCAATTTTATAAAGTGTTAACTGATGAATCACTTGCTAATTATTTGTTTTCTTTGTGATCTTAGTGTCTGTGATATTTAATAGCACCAATTAACAAGGAAGGTTAAAGGTGATCTTTTGCACGACAATTTACTTTTATGAGAGAGTGCATCTTATGCTATGGTTTTCTCATGTTCTCTATATTTGAAATTCTCCATGTTGGATATTGATAGGTTCCATTGGGGGTGTTCCTGTATTGCTTGCTAAACCACAAACGTTTATGAATGCAAGTGGTGAATCTGTAAGTATCCTGTTTCATTGGGTGCTGTTGGTTGTCATGTGATCACATATGCCTACTCTTTATTCTGGAAACTAGTTGTTTGAATTAACTTTTCTGATGTTTTATTTTAAGGTTGGATCCATCGTTTCGTATTTCAACATACCTCTTAATCAAGTGCTTGTGGTAAGGTGTTTGCCTTTTCAGAATGGTTTCTTCTCCTTTTGTCTTCTTTTTCTAATCTTCATACCTTAATTTCCATTGTCATTTTGGATTGCATTTAGCAGCACCCCTAGATTTTTCTTCTTATTGTCAAATGCATACCTTTTGTTTTTTTGTAGATATTCGATGATTTAGATTTGCCTTTTGCAAAATTGCGTATGCTCCCAAAAGGCGGACATGGTGGACATAATGGGTATGTATTTCTTGACTTGTCCTTTCTTTAGAACTGAACCATTTTAAAATTTCTGAAGTATTTCCTAGCCATTCTTCACATCTTTCCATGAAAGAAATTGTGTTTTGTCCTTTATTTTAGCTCATTTTGGATGATATGCTTTTCGACACTGTGCTTATGTGGCAAGTTTTAGATTTCTTTCAATAAGTAGTCTGGGTTGGTCAGTTGTTGAACATGTTTGATTGCCCAAGGTGTATGCAATCGTTTCGTATATTTTCTCGTCGATCCCTCAACTATCAGATGTTAACAAGGGACAATGTGAGGGTTATGTTTCACTGCTCAACACCTGTTGAAAAATTTGATGCACTTTAAATGAAGGAACAGCACCCCCACTGTCTGTTGTTGACTTTGGAAGGTCCAGGAGAAAAGGGGAAGTATGCAAGCACTTACCGTGAACCATACTTTGTTTAAGAATTAAGAATTAGGGTAGCTTAGTGATGTAACATATGATCAGCTGGCCAGTGAACCGAAACGTCCTACATGGGCACCATATTCGGTCATGTAAAAACGCACCCGTCTAGGTGCCCTCTTGGCATCTTGCCACCTAGTGTTCGTCTTGCCCAAGGGTGGAAAAATTCTCTTGGGCAAGGGCAACATAGTCATTTCCCCCCCTAAAAAGAAAGGGAAAGAGAGGGAAAAAAGGAAGGGGGGGGTGGCTTGTGTATAGCTTTTGAGAGAGGAAAACATATAAAAAAAAAAAAATTTTGTGATATTTTTCAAGATTGGAAAATATTTGTACTTTTGGTCTCTTGCAAAATTGAAAATTATAGAAGCTGATAGTTTTTGAGACTTGATGTAGTGTTATAAGAGGTGTATCGGGCAACCATAGCTCGTGGAATCGAGCCAATTTCAAGTTTTGATTTCAATCTTCCATAGTTTTTGACTTTTTGCAATTTAATTTTGAGTTTAAACCTCATGTATATATGTAATTATTAATTAATGGATTTTGTATTTCTTTAGGTACTTGGCCGAATCTGCTTTCTTAAATTTGAACAACACTAAACGAATCTAGAGTTTCAGAAGGTAATCTTCTAACATGACCAAATAAACAACTTTTAGTTAGTTGATCATGCAATCTAGGAACGTGCCTTACTGTTTAGAAGCTTAGACTTTGAATCTAGAACTGGTTGAAATCCATTAGAAACTGGGGTTCAAGTTTATAGATGGAATTACTTTTTGGGAATTCAAATTATCTTTTGGTTTTATGGTGGGCAGATGTTTCCTTTTAGGGTCTCTATGGATTATGAATGGGAACAAGTGGTAATCTTATTTAGGGGTGGAAGAAGAAAGGGGGGGGTTGGGGGTTGGTGGGGCGTGGTGTCAAGGCAAGGCACAAGAAGAGAGCAAGGGGAAAAAGAAGAAGGGAGAAGAAGGGAGAAAAATAAAAAGAATAAGAGAAGGGAGAAGGAGACTGCAGAGAAAAAGAAAAGGACGGGAAGGAGAAACAGAAAAGGGTTAAAGGTTCCTTGGAAGGGAGGGGTCCTCCTAGGAGCGAGAGATGGCTCAGATTTGCAAAAACATGGATTGTTAGAAGCTCCTTATGGTTGGGATCGTCGTCCGTACGATCCTATATCAAGGAAGCACGATCCTTTTCACAAGGAAGCGCGATTCCATGAGGAAGGAATCACAATATTATGTTTTAAGGGATCGAGAATGATTCGTGGGTTCAGAATACCATTGGGCACAAACCTGAATCAGTGCATATGAATCAGTGCCTAATAGAGAAAACATCATATGCACTGCATCATACACTTGAGAACTGCGGTTCAAACCTACGGGGACAAGGATGACAATATAGGGATCCACGTTCCATCCAAGATCTATTGCTGGAATCGTGGGATCGAGGTTCTGAAGCGGGTCCGTGATCTTTCCTACGAGGTTCCAGCAACTATGGTTCGGAGTTACCAAGCCTTCAAAATAGCCTTCAATCAAAAGGGACAAAGGGGGGGTTTTGTCAAACTTTTCTCAAATGAAGTAGTTACCAAAGATGCTGGATGAAAGATGCTGGATGTCGCCCTTTCCTTGTTTTATACATATGTAACATAAATGAAACTCAAATACCCTTTCTATGAGAAATAATAAAAGGACACAGCTACCTTTTAAGTCTAGTAAACAAATAATTGAAATTAAATAAGTGTCCTGTTTCCACCAAGGGAGTAAATAAAATTATATTTAATCTGTTCCCTTTACCGTGCACAGCCAATCAATGGAGGGCCACAATGACCTCATGACTAGGACTACTAAAAAGGTTAGGAACGGCAGATTTCGCTGCTGACTTGCCACTGTCAAACAATATATTGTGCAAGACTTAAAAATTGGTTTGCGAACAAAAATGTACTTAAATATTGGTTTGTAAACAACAATTTAAGCCAAACTACAACCAATATGCAAATGAAAATGTTCCTTTATGCGCCTACTCTAAACGAGATAATATCAAAAGACTTATTTCTGCATCCGTAGGTAATACCAAATTTGTTATTTTTCTTATCGTTCAATAATGCTTTCGTAGACACAGAATGTTTTCAAGTTCATCTTCAGGCCAAAACACTCGAAATGCCTTAGGAAGCCTTAAAACACGTGTATCTTATCAGCACAAAACTTCAGAAATTTTAGCCACATCCAACGATATTGTAGGAAATTCCATAAGTTCTCCAGTGGGACAAGAATTTTCTCAATTTAAATAAGCAGTAGAAAGCTACAGATGAGACTAACTAATTTTGAGATTTCGGTCAGGTCTTCGCATGCTACTTCTCTGGCACATGGCAACAAGTGCTACAGTTTCAGCTGCATGGCATGCCATGGGCCTAAGTATATATTACAAAAAGAAGAAGTATCCCCTCCACATCATGTGGACTGGTGGAAGGGTGCTTGTGCACCCTTCCAACCATTGAGATTTCCCATAGCCATAAATTAATTTCATATTTGATTTTTTTATTTTTATTTAAATACGATACCATCTGAATTTTGGGGTGGAGGTTTATTTCTCTAAAGAGAACTAAATAAAGCATTAAAAAATATATTTTAGATAAAAAAGGCCAAAGTAACCCTAAATTTATTTTGAATAATGTTCTTTATTGACAATATTTTTATTTTATTCTATGTAAAAAAATGAATCTAAAACCAAAATTTCAGATTAATATCATTTTTACATAAAAATCAAAGATAAAAAACGAAGTTGATTTTTAGCCCTTGGATGAGGCTGGTTCAATTTGAACCATTACTTAAAAGGCAGTCCTTTGATGAGGCTGGTTCAACAAGCTGTGGACCCAATAGTAACCCTTACCAAAAATTGATATTTCGCACTAAATCAATATTTTAATTTAGGTAGTTCTGTATGATTTCAGAACATAGCTGTTTGATATTTTTCTACTTGAAAGGAGATTCGATTGGGTGACATTTGGATGATATTTTGATGCCTTGTGCGGATTATGTCAAACAATGGGCAGTATTAGGGATTCGTGTTTTATTTTTTTATTTTTTTTTCTGAAGATAGAGTCATCAATAATCTGCATGCTTTTCATTGGTGGAGAACAACCAATATTAACATAGAGGTGTTGATTTTATTTTCTTGTTGAGCTGGCCTTTAAATTGATGTATGATGTATGCTGTCTAGGAATATAATGATAAATTAAGTATCCAGATGTCAGTGGTGACTTAATGAATCACTATCTCCTTCAACTGTCATTGAGGCTGATCGCTGGCTTTTGCCAGTGATTTCCTTAATGGACTATGATTTTCTATAATCTAGTGGGCTATGTTATACTTCCCCTTGAGTATATTCTCCACATTCTACTCAAGTATTGAGTGAATCAGAGAGAAGCATTTTAAGGAACTCTCCAACATTGTCTAATTTTCTTAGCTCGCAGGATGAGGAGTGTAATTGACCACTTCAAAGGTAGCAGGGAATTTCCACGTTTACGAATAGGTAAGTGACGTGCATGACATTCTTTAAGATGATGGTGATGCTTTTTGGAAAAGCACAATCTTATGCGATCTTGATACTATTTTTAAGGCATTGGACGGCCACCCGGGAAAATGGATCCCGTGAACTTCGTTCTTCGACCATTCACGAGGCATGAGCGCGAGGAGGTAAATGCCCCTTTCAAAATGGTTTACTTTTCATTTGGCTGTTACAAACACATTGATCATTCTTTCTTCTTTCTTTGCTGTCTTTATTCTTCAATTCTTCATTTAGATACTAATGCATTTAGTATAGCGATAAACAAATATTATTGTCAGAGAATCTAAAGAGAGAAAAGAGAAAAGAAAAAAGGGAAAAAGAAGAGAGATATGAGAGACGTATGAGAGAGAAGAGAGTGATGTGGTGTTAAAAACTAACCCCTCAGGCACCTCTTAAACTACTTATACACTATTAAAAAATATGAAAGGGCAAAACTTCACATACAAAATATTAAATGACCCTTAGTTCATAGAATTTAGATGAAAGGACTTCTAACACTCCCCCTCAAGCTAGAACATAAATGTGGCCCCTACACAACGTGGAACAAATTGTTTGAACATATTACGACCAAGGAAGGCCTTTGGGGAAGATGTCTGCCATTTGATTTGATATATGGAGTAGACACCTACTAACTAGCAACTTTCTCTCGGATAAAATGACAGTCTACTTCAATATGCTAGGTCCTTTCATGGAACCCTGGATTGCTGACTGCAATACATCTTCGTAGGTTCAACAACAGTAAGCTCCATCTCTTTCATTAGTGTTTTCAGTCATATTAATTTATATATAGTGTGTGCAATTGTTCTATATTCAATCTCTACATTAGATCTAGCTATAGCATTTTATTTTTTTGCTTCTCCAATTTACCATGTTTCCACTATTAAATGTGCAATAACTTGTGGTAGACCACTTGTTAGATGGTGAACTATCCAACCAACATCTGAATAACTTTCAATTTTTAAATGATTATTTGGCTTCTAAAGTCAAACCTCGACCTGGGGCCCATTTCAGATACCTTAAAATTCTACAAACAACATCCCAGTGAGGAATCCTCGGAGTATGCATAAATTGACTCACAATGCTTATTGCAAAGGCAATATCAGGCCTCGCGATGGTCAGATAAATCAGACTGCCTATGATTCTTCTATACCTTCCTAAATCCTCAAACAACTCCCCCTGATTAGGCAATACTTTTGCATTTGAATCCATAGGCGAATCCACTAGTCTAGCACCCAACAATTCAGTTTCTGCCAACAAATTAATCACATATTTTCTTTGAGACAATCTAATGACATGCTTTGATCGAGCTACTTCAATTCCAAGAAAATACCTTAGCTGACCTAAATCTTTCATCTGAACATATTGTGTTAAATGTCTCTTCAAATGACTGATTCCGTGTTGGTCATTGCTAGTAACAACATCATCATCAACATAGACAACTAAAACAATTATTTTGGAGTTATTTTTTTTTAAATAAACACTGAATGATCTGCACCAAAATCCATATGCTGTAACAATTTTAATGAATTTTTCAATCCATGCATATGGGAGTTGGGTCAGACCATACATGACTTACACGCTTTATCTGACTCCCCTTGAGCGACAAACCTTACTTCATGTACGCCTCTTCTTGTAAATCACCATGGATAAAAGTATTCTTGACATCAAGTTGCCACAATGGCCATCCCTTCTTGCCAGCCACAGATAGAACCACTTGAACTGAATTAAGTTTAACAACGGGGACAAATGTTTTATAGTAGTCAATGCGAAATTTTTGTATGTACCCCTTGGCTACCAATCTGCCTTTTAATCTTTCTATATTGCCATCAGGTTGATATTTGAATGCATAAACCCATGGACACCCAGTAACCTTTTTCCAGTTGATAAATTAGTGAGTTCTATGTGCCATTTGAATGCAGTGCATCCATCTCCTCTTCAGTGCTTTCTTCCACCAGGTATGAGAAAGTGCTTCTTGATAGGTCTTAGGAACATAAATTGATGAAAGGGCTATAGCAAAACTTTGGTTTGATGGAGACAAATTTGTAAACGTACGAAAATGTGCATTCGGATGTTGAGTACAAGACCTAATATCTTTACATATCATAATAGGTGCATCATAAGAAGGAAGTGGATTAGTAGACGGAGATGATGATTGGGTGGCTGGCGGACTCGGTGGGCGATGTCTTGCATTTTTCTTTTGGTGTAAACTTCTATGGGCTGCTCCTGAGAGACATCATAATGTGTAAATGTACTAGATTCAGTGGAGTTAGGCAATTGGCATTAAGGCGAAGTATCAGCAAGAATAGAAATAGGAATCATAGAAGGCAAGGACTTTGAGACTTCTTCAGAAGTAGGATAACAGATATTTGTATCAACCACACAACTCTCTTCTAAAAGCAGGAGTATTTTCAACATAATTAACCTTGGAGAGAAGAGAAAGGAAAGGGGAAGATGAGAAGATCAGATATGCTTTGATACAATGTCAGAGAATATTGGAGAGAAGAGAAAAGAGAAAAAGAAGAGAGAAGAAAGAGATATGAGACATGAGAGATATATATATGAGAGATGTGTGAGAGAGAAGAGAGTGACGTCAGGTTAAGTAATAATCCCTCACACACCCTCTTGAACTACTTATATATTATTAAAAATTATGAAAGGGCAAAACTGGCCATACAAAATATGAAAGGACACTTTGCTCTTAGGACATAGATAAAAGGACTTTCAACAATTATCATTTGTGTATGGCTTGTACTAGTATTTATTTCTGATATTACGTGTGAGTTTACACATGCATGCATATGTGCATATGGGTATATGAATGTCCTCGTACATGCATTTATTCAGACGCACATTTCACTGTATACTAGTAAATATTATGAAATTTTGAGCACAACTTTCTGGTGCAATTTTGAGTACATCCCTACCCAACTTTTTGATAAACTATTATGTCTCTTATAGGATTAGCTGAAATATGCTTTTGTTTCTTTGATCTTTTCATTACTTGTGTGCGTGCATGTCTGTGTTTGTGTGCACACCTGTTCTTCATTTGCTGAGGGTATATGGCATAGATAATGTATTAACTAGTTGAACTCACGTGCTTTGCCTATGTATTTAAGTGCGTTAAGCATCCAATGAAAATTAGAAATATTTTTAAATTTTAAAGTACAACAATAAGGAAATAAATAGAAAGAAACCACCATGATTCTTGGAATGCCTTAGTTCTCTAGTCAATCCTTTGGAAAATTTCATCTTAATAAGGTCATGAAAGCAAAATTAAAATATATAATGGCTTTTTTGAAGTTCAAGAAAAATAAATAGATGAAGCATATGGTTTATAAGGAGACTGGTACACAATCTGTGAGTTTCGTATTTGTATGTAGAATAGATAAGGAACAAGTGAGAGAGAGTTGACAGATTCATGTTCAGTTTCTTTTCAGATTTGTATTGAGTTTCTGTTGAAAATGAAAGAGTCCAAATGAGCCCTCCTGGCAAGGTTGGGAAAAAAAATCCTTGCTTGTCATTGTCTTCTTTTGTGATTTCCTTTCATTGTGCTTTTTTGGCTCCTATATTTGTTATCATTGTGCAAGTTCCAATCCAGTGGGTGGGTAGGACATATGTAAGTTTTGCGGGTTTTTGGACATTGACTGGTTGTGGTGGTCAATTTGGTGTGAGAGAAGCATGTTAGAAATGAGAAGAGCAGAGATACTTAAATGTGAGATGTTCAAGCCAAATTGGACTCTTCATGTGGGGATTGGCTCAGGCAGGGATCTTAGAAGCTAGTGATGTGGCTGAGTAACCAAAATCTCATGAAAAATCCTTTCTACCATGTGCTTTGAATGAAAACCCTTCGAGTGTCAATATTGCTGACATATAGATTCACTAGATAACCAACAAAAGAAGCAGGAGTGAAATTTACCTCTTTGAATTTTTTGAACAACATAACCAAGGTTTTAAAGATCGTTGATATGGATCGGAATCTCCTGATCCGGATTAGGAATCTTTGGGATCGATTCAGTTCCGCTTATATATTGACAACTGTCTGGTTCCCTTTATGAACCAACTGGTTCTCCGATAAAACCGGCCGGTTCTGTCAAGAATTGGCCAATTCTGCTGGGACAGAACCGGCGGCCCCACCTTTATTTCATTTTATAATATTTATTTTTCCTTTTACTTTACTCTTTTGCAAAGGGCCCATCACGCTTCTCTTTCTAAGCCTTTTCCCGAGTCCATGTGCTTAACAGCCGCCCATCCCGTGAAGCATTTTATATTGCCCACTCCTCCATTCTCTTCCTATCCTCCACGATGTGGAATAATACAACTCCCTTCCTTTTACAACTTATAACACCCAAATCATGAACCACTTCGTTCTCCATGGGCTTTATTGCTACTTTTTCCTCGAACTCAAAGAAAATTGGCGTCCATCTCTCTCTCTCTCTCTATCTCTTTTCGTTAACAAACTAATGGTTTATTACTGCTTTTTACTCATGGTCAAAGAAATTTGGCGTTCATCTTTCTCTCTCTCTTCACAAACAACCTATTGCTTTATTGCTACTTTTTCATCAAGCTCAAAGAAATTTGGGGTTCATCTCTCTCTCTCTCTTCTAACAACCTATTCTACTAACTATTCGATATAGCTTCTTTCAAAAACCAAAACTCTGCTTTTGGATAATTTAAAACTCCAATTAGTAGCTAAAACATCAATTTGAATTTCCCATTTTTTCTCTCTATTATCTACATTTTCAATGTCGAGTTTAACTTTTCCATTCGTGTTAGTTTTTGGCTGATGGAATTCACCTCCCCTTCTATTCTAGTACTGGTCTTTTCTTGCCACGGAGTTGACAATACTTGAAAATAGTTATATATCTAAGATTTTGAAAAATGCCGATCTAGATTGGTAGTGCTTGATGAATTTAGGATGGTTTGATTAATTTCTTTAGACGGATCATTAGAGAGAAATTTAATACGAAATCTCTTGAGAGATAAAACATTAAATAATTAACTCAATAAGTTAAAGTGCAAGTGGCATTGGAGGTTATAACAATACAAAAATTAAAATTTTGAGTGAGAGGGATCCATTTTATTACCATGAGTTGCATTATAAAACTTCATTTTGATGATAAAATGAATGTAATGGACAAGAAACACTCACATATGAGACAGGTTCTCAGCATTTACGTAACTTTTATAAAACAATTGAAAACCATGATGCAAATACCACTATTTTTTTTAGGGAAACCTAAAACGCTAGATTTTTAAGAAATTTTACTATTTTTTGAAAAAATTTTGAGTCCAAAACCGGCTGATCTGGTCAATTCTCTGATGCCAATCGCTGATCCACCGTTCCAAACCGGCTTTAGGGGTGGCTGTTCTGGGTCACCAATCTGTTTTTTAAAACCTTGAACATAACTTTTGGAATGCTCAAATGTAGTTGATTGCTTTTAATTTAGATTGATGCCAAAGAGGGGAAGATTTTAAATCGTGGCCATAATGGGTTGTTTGGGACCTTGTATACAGAAATCCTGTGTTTTTTTCTCAATACTTGGTTTTGTTGATTCTTGTGTATATAAAGCTGGTTTTGATGGCTGGCTGCTTGAAGAACCCAATATATATAAAAGCTGGTATTTTACCCTGTTTGGTGCTATGAAGATGAAAATCAGGTTTTGGCTGTTTGTTGTTATGCAATTTAGCCATTAATTCTTTAAGTTGATGATTTCGTACTAATACATGGCCAATAAAAA